GTCTGAAGCTTGTGGGCGATGCTTCCATTTCGACTTGGGGTTGTAAATCAAGCCTCCCCTCGGGGGCCTATCTTCCATTCTCAGACCTTCACAACAGCTTGTTCTCCAGCCTGTGACGAGAGGGACTGTTGTCACAGCAGCCATCGATCGTGCGGGATGAGTTTGTCGGACCGGGGGATTTTACCATCCGAGCGTGGTCACTGAAGTGTCCCATCTTGTCTCTGTCTGTCTGTGGGTTGCATACTCTGTCGAATGCCAAGTCACCACAAGCTATTGTCAGCTGTGTCTCACATCGTTTCAGACTAGAAAACATTCACTCACCAAGAAGAAAACACAGATTACAGATTTTAAGTGAATACAGATTTCGGGTTATATGAATACTTGGTCCAAGCCAGACATAAATTGCTGTTGGTCACTAATTGGCACAGTTGTAAAGGGAAAAACTGTAAAGCAAAGGAGCAGAGTTTAACTTCAACCTGGCTCTGGTGAAGTGGATGCAGAAAACCTAATCTTGTCTTAATTTAATCAGAAATCACCCAAATCAATTAAGATTTTATATCCATATTCTGATAGATTGGTCCTCTTGCTGGGGTTGGTTGTCTACCACAAAGTGCTTCCATGAGTTCAAGATTTTTCTCAATTATTGGCAGTGAACTGAAGTGACATCATACTATTGCTGAACTTTTCTGTCTTTGTTTCATTTTCATCAAGGCAAAGTCTCAGAACTTGTTTTGAATTGCATTTAAACTGTAGCATCTTGTTTCTCCCAGAAGGGTGATGTTGATGCTATGCAAATAAGACTATGTTGAAACACCAAACCTAAAGGCATACTAATCTGAACAGCAGAATGGTTTACTATTAAATGCAAGTCATTATGAGTTTTATACCACTCCGTGCTTCAGTGGACCCCTGGTATTTGTGGAGGTTGGGGACCACAGCTGCCTGTGAATAGCTAAAATCCACAAATACTTGAGATCTCCTCTAAAAATGATCAGAACTGTGTTCAAACACCATTTATACCCCAATGCGCATTGGTCCGTTTAGCAGAAATTTTCTTTGCATTACCACAGAACCTGATTTCTACAGTCTCTCTTATTTTGAGTCTTGAGGGTAAAGCCAATCAGTGCCAAAGAAAATTAAGGCCACTCCCATATTAGCTGTTTTACTTTTGCATTTTCTTTTTGGAAATATCTGATTATAAATGATTTTCATCTGTTTTCAAAAGAAAGTTGATTGATTTACTGGTGGATCTCTGACTTGGATTGGTAGCTTCATCTGAATTCAAACATACAAGTATGAACATTTAAGTTTGTTTTTTACAGCATCTAATCAGGTATTTAATTAATGATGACAAAGAACAACTTTCTTTTATTTTAAAGTCATAATGACTTAAATGTTTCTGGGAAGTATTGTTGAAAACGTTCCTCCACTGTAAATAACTGACAAGCAAATTAGTTATTCGTTATCTAAAGAAGATAAACACTGCTGCTACTAATTTTTTCCAAGTCTTTCTGTAGATCTAGATATTTTTGGGCACAATACTGCTTGTGAAAATGTTTCAGCGTGACATAATTTCTTACTAAAATGTCTCAGGATTTTACTGAAATGCGACTTGGTTACAGCACCAAAGCTCTCTTATGTAACGTCTCTTTTGAATTACTGTTGAGACCAGATATTTACATGCACTCAATAAAAAGAAAACCATTTTCTTTTCTCAACACTGAATTAATTAAATCAGTAAGAATCATCTAAAAGATTTAACTTCTTCTCATAGAAAATTGTCAAATTTTTTATGTTCTTATAGAATAGTTTATAAAATTTTATGTTCAGTAGGACCACATCAAGCACACTGCATCCTTGTCTGATGACATATTAGGCTGCCACAAATGCTAAAGCTAGTTAACATGGCCAAACAATGGCGAAACTTAGAAGTTGTTTCTCTATTAGCACATTGATCAGGATTGATTGACAGTGATAATCGCTCTGATTGGTTGTTTTTGACTGGGAACGTTTCTATGGATGGCAATGGAGGAGGTGGAGTAGCTCGATGCTTTCACAGATTATCTCTCTCATACTGTCACGACATGGTGGCAGTTTGAACAAATGGTGTAAAAGTTGCATGCTGCAGATTTAAAGACCATAATCTTGTAGTTTAATAAAAGCTAAATTAAGTTTGGCTCTTTATAGTACATTGTTACATTTGGAGGGAATGGGAGAGCCTTGAAAACATGGGAGCGTTATCCTAACCGTGAAATAACCAGATGCAAGCATCGTGTTGTGTGCGTGGCTGCAGAAAGGACTGATATGTTTGACAAAATTTATGCCATAATGAAGGAAGTACATTTTGTGGAAACAATAAAGGAACACTTCAAGACATCAGCCAGGTTTAACTCAGTCATGTAGTTTAGAAATCAGTTTGACCAAATATTTAAAACTAAAAAAACTCTGCATGTTTTCATTATGTTGACATTTACTAAGAAAAACTAATTATGGTAATCCCAATCAAAAACAGTAAAAGTTTAATCTGTCGGTGAGGAATAAAAGATTATCTTTTAAATACGGTGAATTTAGATTTAGATTTCTAGTTCTACGTTTTTTGATTTCTCTTCAATTTAGAATCTCAAGCACATCTAACTCTGTGCACAAGTAAAAGTAAAACTTAGTATTTTTCCGCAGACCTTTGAAAACTGCTGAGTTGAGCAAATAGAGCTGCATCAAAGTAAAGCAGATTTCTAAAAATAAAAATGTTAACTTTAAGAAAATCTTAAAACGCAGTCAGGTGATGCAAAATTCATAGTGCGCCATTCCAGAGGCGATGACAATGGGTTTTTAATGAGCATTGGGACCTGAAAATATATTAAAATCAAATCAAAAGCAAATTAAATTTGAGTACTAGAGCAAAAAGTTTTCCCTCTTGCCATGATGGATTCTCTCCAAAATTGTGCTACTTTAAAACCAAAGGGATGAATTATTCCATTTTTAAAAAGCCAATTAGCTGATGCTTTCATGGAAATTAGAAAGTATTGGATTTTCTGATGTCAATTTGAATTAAAACCAGAATAAATTACTCACATTTGACAGTATAAGGAATAAAGACACTGATTCCTTTGACATTTGTTAGGTGAATACTTAAAAAGGTAAAATCGACACATAAATTATATTTTCCATTTGTGTATTGGCCAAAGGAAAAGAAGAGAAATTAGATTCTTATCAAGTATTTGGCACAAAAAAGCTTCCATGTAAATTTAAAAGATGAATTTCAAGCTTTCCAACGGAAACATCACGAGAAAATTTAAACACAAATAAGTTAAAGCTTGCTTTGAGTGCACTGGACATTATATAAAAACATAGTTAATATGATAAAAATGACTGATATTGCAGCACAGTGTCACCAGCACTTTTACGTTTAGGTTTTTTTTCTCCTCTGGCAATTTCAAAGCATTTCTTCATCTTGTTTCCTCACCCTGAAACTCACAAGAGCACACCCACTCAACCTCCCGGCCTGCTGAGAGCACTTGAAAGCAATTTTCTTTTAATCAAGTTTACTATAAAGGGCCCTCTGATGCCAGCCTCAGCAACACCTCCATTTGTTTTGTTTTGTTTTTTTTCCCCCCCAACTCCATCGCTCTGAATTATATTGATTTCTTTATGAGAAGTATAAAGTACTGTTTACTAAGAATTTGCTGTATTTATTGCTCATGCTCTCCCGTGAAGGTCTCGTTTTTCAAATACTTATATTCAGGGATTTGAGTACTCCTTTTTAACATTAAACAATATGTTTTTTTGAATGATTAAATCTGTAAATGCTTTCCATGAATGTAAGAGGGCTGTACATTTTATAATTTACTTTGTGATATTCTGAAAACTTAGATATTTCATTAACTGCATATGAATGAAAAGCAGCAAGATAAATGTTACCTTTTGCTGGATAAAAACTGGTAAGTTTTAATTATTTACCTTTCCTTACTGCAGTAGAGTCAATTCAGCCACTGGAAATGAAATTGGATCAACATGCAAAGAACAAATCCTGATTCAGTAGTTTAAAGAAAACTTACACAATCCATAATACCACTGGTTTATCGCTGCACCAGTAAACCAGTGTTAATCACTGGTACTGGCCCATTGATAACTCAGTATATCAAAACCAGTTTCCTGACTTTAAAGAGTATCTGCAAGTCTGAAATCTAAGATCACACTCTCGTTGATGACAAGCTTTGACTAACTGAAGGGTAATAATAACCAAATCTCTTATTTTAAAGGGAATTACTTTTATTTTGAAAGTCAATAGTCATTTTTTTTGTTGATCACAGGGAAGTTATGCAACCCAGAAGTAAACATGGAGAAGCAGCATTCCGCTTCCATGCATCACAAATCTGGAACAAACATCCAGAAAACTACAAAACAGCTGAAACACTGAATGCCTTCAAATGGAGACTAAAAAAAAATCAGCTGTTTAGCGTTGCTTTTGAAACTTAATCATCAAAAATTAATCAATAATTTGATGCGCAAAATGTCATGTTGTTTGTGTGTTCAATGACTTTATAATTTTGTGTTTTTATGATGTAAACCACTTTGAAATGCCTTGTTGCTGATAGGTGCTCTACAAATAACATTTGATTTGATGCAATCCAGCATATGAAGACTCTTATTTTGAAGCAAGTTTTGTTTTCGCAGTGTAAATTAATCTGCTAATTGCCAGCATGGGTCCATTTGTAAAACCGAAGTATTAATATTACATGTGTAGGACTAAATCTCTGGAGACTGCATCTGCTGAAAATATATTAGCGGGTCAAAATAAATTAAAAGGCTGCTTGACCTCAAAACTGATCAGTCTATTTCTGATTAAGCTTCTTTATTCAAAAAACAAACAATGCCTTGTATCAAAAGAAATTGTAAGAACTGATGCATGCTTAAGAACTGTAAAAAATCTGAAATGGATTGAGAAAAAGGAAGAAAGCTGTTGGATGTACTGAATCTTTTTTTAAATGTTCTTCTTGCAGATCACAAGAACAAGCTGTACCGAGAGAGCTTCCTGTGACTGAACCTGAAGAGACTGGCTGTCCAGGACACACAGGTGAGTCTCATTGTTCTACATTTCCTTTGAGACTTGATAACAACAATCCAAGAGATGAAGTATGCAGCCAAAAATATCCAGCTATAATGTGTCAAAATGGCCAGTAATGTGATCCTGTAAAGTACTACATGGTTCTAACGCTGCCTGTACAGTTTATGTGCAAAACCATCAATATTAAAATTTCACTCCCATGTTTCTCACTTCTCAAAAGCTCTCAGTTCATTTCATTTAGGTATGGACACAAATTAACTGAGTTACCAGGAATCTAGTTTGTGCACATTTTAATTTATTCAGTTTTTTCTATACTTTTGACTCCTTGGAAATGCGGCTGACTCCACAGTTGACCTAAATGTTACACAGTGACTATTTTCTGCACCATGTTGAAATTACTGTGTAATTGTATAATTTCCCAATACACACAAAAAGCAAACATTTTCATATAAAGTCATTAAACAAAACTGCAGCTTTTATATTGAAAAATACCTTATTTAACTATACAAAAACCTATTACAGAAAAATAAATCATTTTCTAGCAACAATGAGAAAACAGTTATCCAAAGTTTTCTTCAGCACATGAAGCATTGAAATTGCAACCTACACAGCTGCTTGCCTAATGTGTTTTAATGAAACTCCCCCACATAAAAAACAAAAAAAACAGCCTCTTCAAAGTACTTTAGCCAGGAAAAATGAAAAATGGGAAAGGAATAAAACCCTTAAATATCTTTATGTGCATTATTAAAAGCACAGTGCCTGAGCAAAGCTTTTTCAATAAGTGGAGAAAGGATAAAAGCTTAGATTTTATTTATTAGTATAGCTTTTCTATTTACAGCTTCCATCCTGTGCTTGAGTTTCCTTATTTTCTGCATCCCAGTTTATTTTCAGGAGAAAGTGGTTTTCAGAAAAAGGCCAGAGATATACTAATAAACTGAGCCTTCTTTGTAGGTATAATGCAGACTTGAACCGAAATGCTGAATTGCATTGGAACTTGCAGTTTAAGGGAAAAGTAAACCATAACCTGATACCAAGAGAATGAAGTAGAAAGGGAATATGAGAAATACCCATGAATTCGGGATAGTGTTCACATTTGGGGAGTTTGATTTATTGTACTGAACTTTACCACATTTTGTCAATGTTTAACAGAAAATTGTGGAGGTAAAATTTGTTTTATAACATGATATTCTAGACAAAATCTAGCACCAGGTGTCGTCTGACAGCTGATTCAAAAACAAACATACATTTTATTCAATTTCAAAATGATTTGGTGTAAATACAGCAGTTTTGAGAAGGACTGAGAAATGTTTTTGGAGAACATTAGTGAACAAATGGAACCATTCAATCCATCACCTGAAAATCGAAAGCGTATGACGCAACTGCTAACCTACCAAGACATGGCGGTCCACCTGAACATGTAGTGTGGTTAAAAAAAGCGATAATCAGAGAAAGTCAAGCAAGCCATGATGACTCTGGAGGAGTTGCAGAGATTCATTGCTCATGTGGGAACATATTTCAGAAATGCAGCCATCAGACGTGCACTTCTCAAATACAAGAGTGGCCGGAAGAAGTCCTGCAGTTTGAAACATGTCATATAGAAAACACTGCAAGCACTTGGAAGAAGGTGCTCTCAGAACTTCTTCCTGGCCTAAATGCAAAGTGATATACACTTCTGGATCCTTATTATCAAACATGGTATTGGCAGGATCATGCTACTGCGTTGTTTTCTTCAGAGCTGATGGATGGAGCAAAATACAGGACAAGGCTGGAAGAAAACCTGTTTGTAAACAGTGGAGGACAGCAAGATACAATGACAAGAACACCGACCCTCTAGCTATGCGTAAGAATGCCCAAATCAGCGAGGGCTGACTGATGCAGAAAGCAACGACAGCAACAATCTCAAAGTGAACGAATTTTCTCCCGGAGATAGTTGTACAGGAGAGGATGATGTGAGCCTCTGAGAGCACAGGCTTAAATCTCGTGTTTTGTCAGGGTTTTTAATGATGCTACGCTCGGTAAGCTCAGGTTGCTTCGTGTCGGCACTGACCCTCATGGGCCAATCTCTGGTTGACACCTTCCCATCTGTGTTAATGAGATGACTCCACTCCGTCTACGGGTCACAGTGATATTTACAGAATCCGTTGTTGCAGCAGAGATCCACGCCTCCCCGTGGCGCTCCCTTGTCTCATTTGCATTGCTTTCAGACTTCCCCTTCCTGGCGTTCCCTCCGTTTTATCCCTCTCGCTGAGCTCCTCCGTGATAGACAGGCTCCTTCACATTTCTCTTCAGTTTGTATCGCACATGTTAATTAAAGCCTCTAATTAGCTTTCTCCACTAAAAGGCCGCATTAAATCAGAGTTGGAATGGCAAATGATTCCTGGCATTAGCATAATTGTGTTTTTGAAGTGGAAAGACTCAGGCATTAGGGATTTTTTGTTTCAGTGATTTGTTGTTTGTGGCTCGGCGCCTAAGGGGCTACTGGAGGTTGGTCGGGTGATTGTGGGGCCAGGGGACCCTACAGGGGCCCCAAACACTAATGAGGCCTGCTACACTCTGATGGAGCAGATATAGAGAAAAAAACAATGCTGTGACGCTTTGCCATGAGGTTCTTCGGAGATTGCATCAGAGTGAAAAAGGACACCTGTGGTATCTGTCTGACAGAGGAACAGAAAAATAAAGCATCTGCAAATTTTACTCTCACCTATGTTACCTGGCTTACTTAGTTTTTAAGAAATTGCATCATGTAGTACTGATTCTGTCTTTTTCTTGAGTACAGCACAAAACATAACCAGTCTAAAGAAGACGAGGACTCACCATCTGAAAACGTGCGGAAAAATATCCAAATCTGACACAGACTGGTGGCACAGATTCTTTTCAAGAAAAACTTTTCTCTCTCATTTGATGTACAACTAATTATATTTGTGACCAAGCAAGATGGTTCCCTGCAAGTAAGTGCAAAAAGCAGCAGGAGCAAAAACTGTGGCTTTTCTACTAAAATTTTACTGACGCTGGTGGTTACATCATAGGTCATAAATTTAAATAAACTATCTAATTGAATGTGTGCATATTGTTTATGTTTAGCTACAAACTAATCACACTGTTTGTAGCAGAACTAGGTGCTACAGGAATTAAGAAAAGTAGGAATTTGAAAACAATATTTGCATGTTTTCTGCCAACAGTGGGCAGATCTTTGAAAAAAAACATCTGCACCAGCAAATGTTCGTGATGGACTGGTGCCTGTTTCGCTCAGACTCTGGGCAAGAGACAGGGTGCACCCTGCAAAGGTTGCCCATCTGGACAATATAGAGGCGCACAGGCCAGACAGCCATGCACACCTAAAGGCTTATTCATACACAGCGAGAATATGCAAACTACATGCAAAAAGACCGCAGGCTAGGATTCGAACCCAAGTCCTTCTTGTGCCAAGGCAACTGTGCATTCATATTAATCCAAATGTTCTTGGCTGCTTATAACCAGATTATCAATGTTTGCTACCCTGCAGGAGTTTTAGATAATTATTTAGAAGCTTTGAACAGTGGACTAGGTAAAGTTGTGGCATCAGCAATAATGTCCACAATAAAACATGCTGCAGGGATAATTACTTTGGAGCCAGTTTGTGTGAAAAACCACAGCAATAACGCTCTGCTGAAGGAAAATGCAGAGAAGGTAAATTATGTTTGCATTTACAGAGTACAGTACTGTTTCTTGTTGTTTGTCTTTGTGCGGCACTTTGAATTGCTTTGTTGCTGAAGTGTGCTTTTACAAATAAAGTTGACTTTAGTAGTAGTTCTACCCACAGACCTTAATAATTGCCTGTCAGTACATGTAAATAGTCCAACTCTCACAAAATGGAACATGGTGCATTTTGTGTTACATGTGGACCGTGTTTGTTGATTGCTAAACAATGACATGCCAAGTCTTGATTTTTGTGCTCAAGACACTAAACGACAAACCACTTTCAGTTAGGAACAAAGGCTAAAGAAGTGGAAAAACAAAAACACGTAGAGTGTACCAAAGAAAAGATCTGAAATTGTTCTAGAAGAATCTTTTGCTTAGTCATTCTCAGAATCTTTTAAATTTTGGCATACATTTCTTTATCATTGCCAGCTACTGGAATCAGCTTATGTTTTTGCTTAAGTAATGTATGAACAAGTAATGTATGCACATAGAAATTAGAGATAAAAACATTGCAACTGTTTCAGTACTTTGTTTTAAATAAAAAAAGTTCAGCCATTTTTGCTTTATTTTTCAGCTAGAGAATTTCATACATGGGAAACTTTGTCACTAACCTTTTGGGATGCTTAGTGAGCACTTTTCCCATCACATGGGGGTTTGGTAAGAGTTCTTTAAGTTTCAGGAACTTAGAAGGTCCACTATAATTGACTCCCAGTAGAAAACACAAATTTTTGTCTTATTGCTCCCCAAACATTTGACTGGCACTCCATGCACAGTGATACTGCAGACCAAATCAGATGGATGTTATTTTCCCTGAAGTCTGCATGAGGAAATGCCATAAAGTTTCTGCAAATTCCTTTTGACCTTAATAATCTTTGCATCTGCACTGAACACTGCAAATCCTCCCTAATGCAAGAAGAAATGATCAAAACGAGCCTCACACGTCATTGAGCTACAGTGAGACATCCCTGCCAAGTTGATGAGACTTTCTGAATCCACTCACTTATTAGTGTGAAACTCTTAAGCCCCAGGTTATATTCTTTTTTTGTAGTGTGGCACATATGGATTTACAGCTGATTGCCACTGTGCACATCCTCACCTATCAAACATGAGTGAAGCTGTCACCAACCCATGGATTGCGCCTCCGGGTAGACATAATGTACTTTTCAGAGTCTTCCTCTGGGCAAGCCTAGCTCTGTGCTGCTGTGGTGAAATTATTCACGGTGAACTTGCCTTCCCAAAGGCGCGGCGGTGGAGCGGTGACAGTTTGGGGCTTGTGTGATAGCCAGGAGTGTTGTTATATGAGTTATTATTGAGCCAGCCAGAGATACGGA